TTCATTGAAATCAAGAAATTCCTAATAAAAGATAGAATAAACACACTCCAATATAATAAATGAATTCCTAATAAACAAACGGGAATACAAAAATGTATGTAAAACAATTATAATATAATCTGTACAAGATGTAATAATGTAAAAAATATAACATCAGAATAATTATATTTATGGGTTATTCTATACGAAAACGCAAATGCAGGCTCTGCCCATAAATGATTTGATCCTTTATAAACGTACAAGTACTCAAAATATAGCTTATTTTATGTTGAATCGAATGTCACATGGTGAATTTGGAATACTTCAAAATGGCAATCACGGAAGCGTCCTTAATGGACTGTCGTCAAAAAATTTTTGGAACAAACTTTAATTACCGAAGGCACAGCGGGCTAATCATTTTTTTTATTTCCATAAATTAAGATTTTGGAGATCGCTGAATATTAATCCGTAGTCATAGTTATAAAACAAAGGCGAATCCAATATGTCGGCTAAATTTAGCCAATTTTAAAATAATGCAAATTTTTTGCACAAGACTCACTAAACCGAAGTTTTTTGAGTCGCTAATTGGAATTGTTAATTATTAAAGCAGGATTCTGAATATCAAATCTAAAATGGCAAGTGGAATATGGCTAGTGACATCTCACTGCAATGATCAAGTTGGAAAAATTTTTTGGACATTAATATGTATAGGCACTGATTTATTGGGTTTCTGATTGCAAAATCAATCTTTGCTCAAAGTTCAAGGCTATTGAGCTAATATGGTAAATAAAATATGGAAATAATGAAATTTGTATTATTATATTACTTTTGAAATCTAAAAACACTTTTTCGTCAAAAAATTGTAATTTTTGAAAATTAGACACGGAACACTCACAATCAGACAAATACATTGTATTTGCCAAAACATATTCATATAATACTGTGAATCGTCAATACCGTGCAAACTTTACGTTGCTTGACTGACATTGACTTTGTTAACGGAAATAAGCCAAATCTGTGAATAATCGATTGTTGTTTGATTATAGATTGTTCATGGATGACTGCTTAAATCAAATTAATAAATTTCGCTTATTTAATGTTACCCAGTATATCTTTGTTTATTGTTACTGCAAATGTGTGTAAATGACGAACAGAAAGGGAGACGGCAGGAGGGTGAGAGAGAGAGAGAGAGAGAGATAGAAATGTATATATTTTTTTAAACAAAGTAAAGTAATGTTTTTAACAAGGAAACATCAGACGCATATTAAATTATCATCGATTGTTTACGTCTAATTATTAAATTCTTGAAGTAATTCTATCAAACGATCGTACATTAGTGTTTTAGCATCAATGGCCCATAAAAAATCCAAATGAGTCCACAATTTATGTGGATTTTCCTCCAGCACGATAACATTAGGCAAGTGTCTATGTATCTCGAGAACATTCTGGAATTAAAAACATGGAGCTAAAATTAATAATAATAATAAAATAAGAGAAACATGTACAATTATTTCTTAAAGGCTGTTTTTATATAATATACATATAATAATATAGGCAGATGAAATGAAAGAAGGAATAGAAATGATGAAAGGAAAGCGGAGAGAAAGATATGATAAAAGAGAAGAAGACAATAAAAGACGATATTTTGCACAATATTATGAAATGAAAATCGTGCAGTTTTCAAACTTAAGCTTTTAAAAATTCAAATCTTAAATTATTTTTATACTACAATTATATAATACAAAGTGTAAATGTAATTATAAAAAATAAATTATTCAAAGTTAATTATATAATTCAAGTAAAAAACATTTTTGATTTTTTTCTAAGTCAATTATAGTTTACATGAAACGCAGATAAAGCTGTTAATATAATATACATATAATAGTATACTTATAGTATACATATCATAAAGTTTTATTTGTTTTCTTTAATATATATTTTTTACTCATGAGATATATTTACATAAGAATTAGAAGTGACTTTACCGTTTTTAAAGCAAGTAAATCATTTGCGCCGTAAAATATAGCCAAGGGTGCAGTAACTTTTTTAAGATCATATGTGATAGGTGTTATCTGTCCATATTTTTTGTAGTTTCCAAAATATCCGTAATCTAAAGCTTGAAATTTCTCTGCAACAATCAATAATATTTATGTACATAATTAGAGAATTAAAAACAAAAAATTTTACACATTTCAGTTTTCATTTAAATAAAATATCGCATGATAGTGTTTAATGTTCTTACAAGAATTATTATTGGGACAGTTGTTTTATATTATTAATAAAGGTAACAAAAGGTAACAAAGTAAAAATAAAAGATGTTAATATTATTAAATAACATTTAATCAACATTTCTTGATTTATAATAAATATGAAAATTTGTTATATAATATATAATGTTATATAATATTGTTATATAATAGGTATATCCCAAACGAAAATTTTTTTTGAAAAAAAGAAAAAAATTTACACTAAGTATATAAACAAGTATCGAATCGTACGTTACATCTTACCAAAAATATTATTTTAAGAAATAAAAGTTGTTCAAAAACAATTATAAGATCAATCAAGTTGCCAAGTATTTGATTATATATAGAGACAAAAATATTATTTTAATAAACTGTTTAAGCCATCCAAAAGTATGCAGCAAAAGTTTAATGCCATTGTCTTTCCAAATAATTTTAAATTTCATAAAACAGGCTGAAAGTGACTAAAATGACCAATGGAAAGTAAAAACTTGGCATATCCGGATTGTATCAATTAATAAGGTGTTCATAAAATGCGGTAGAGGAAAGAAATACTTACCTGTAATAACATTTTGATGAAAATGAAGTAATGTTTGAGTTGAAGTTCCACCCGGACAATTTGAAATTATTTCCGGTAATGCTGTCTGCAACGAATGGTTTTATTAAAAGCATTTTCGCAATGTTACACATTAAATTACAGAATATAAATATATAAATGTATTTTTCTACTTTTTGCTTCTTAAATAATGGCAAATAATAAAAACAATGGCAGTGTTACAATTGATAAAAACATGCTAAATTAGATATGTATGATATACACTGTACAGTATTAAATTGTGCTGGATCAGTTCCGGAGATAAGAAAAAACAGTCCAACGCAGACAGCTTGAGTAATTGTATTATCTGCACACAGTGTTCTTCCAATTCTAATGATTGTTGATGATAAAGACAGTATTTCATATATTTCATTCAAATCAAGAAATTCCTAATAAACAAATATAATGGACAAACTTCAATATAACAAATAAATTCCTAATAAACAGAAATATAAAGATATACCTAGAAGAATTGAAATAAAATTTGTACCAGATGCAATATAATGTAAAAAACATAACATCAAAATAATTATATGTATGTATACTTTCTGAAATGTATAATCAATGACAAAATAATAACATAATAAAAACTGTCAGTACGCAATTGTTAAAATGGCTGTATGATACAGATACACAAGAAAATAATTTATTTGTCAAAATGATCATTTCAAACAAAATTAAATCTTTTTTTTATTATAAATAATCATATGTAATAATTTACAATAATTACAAAAATTTTATTAAAAATATGAATACAAGAATTTCATGAAAAAGTACATTATAAAAAATAATATTTTTCTAAATCAATTATTTATTTAAGAACCTATACTTAACTCTAGTAATTATCATTATAGTAATAATAAATATAATAATAAAGTAATGCTACTAATAAAATCTATTTTTATATTAAAACGATATATCAGTAATATATGTATGTATCAATCAGTATATGTATATATAACTTATAAAACTTATTAAAATAATGAGTATATAATTAGTTAATATAAAATCTATTTGGAAAACATCTCTCTAATCTCTTAAAATTTTTTTTGACTTCTCTTAAAATGCGAGAGAGAGAGAGAGAGAGAGAGAGAGAGAGAGAGAGAGAGAGAGTCTGTTACAAGAGATTTCAAGAAATTGACAGGATTGTGCGAAAATGCTATTAGGAAGAGATTACTCATTGCGTTTGGATCCACTATATTCAGTAAATTTCTGAATAAAGTAAATTATGAATTATTAGATCCATTGATATAATTTCATCGAGCAATATTTTTTTATAAATATTTTAAGATAAAATGTATTTTACATAATTCTTTGCAAAAAAAAA